AGGTGCTTATATAACACCCCCATGGGGTCTGACAGAGGACCCGCTACCCTCTAACCAATCAACTTAATACTTTTGCAGTGAAACAAATATTCATCTAGGTGGGATAAAGCTATAAATAATCTCATCAGTTTAGGTGAAACTTTTCCACCACCAAAAAACCCCCAAACTTTCCTCTTTCGAGGCTCTTGGATTTCAGAGTTGCAGAGCTGGGGCAGGGGTGGGGAGGCGGGGCAAAGAGTGGAGTGTGGAGCTGTGCTCACCACGCGTGGCTGTGAGGATGGCATGGGGGGATAGGTAGGCAAAGCGCCGAGAATGCCCAGCACACGGCAAAGCTCACTCGGTACATCGCAGGTATTCTCATTCATTCCGAAAGAGGGAAAACAGGCTGCTCCCAAGATTATTATGCACATGTCCAAATCACTGCTGGGGAAGTTACTACTTCAGGGACTAGAAAGACCTCATCAGACCTCTTACGAAGATTTCTGGGTGGACCCAGCAGCCGCTTCCGGGAGAGAGATGTCAAGAATGTTCCCAGGGGTCTGATCCAAAGAATAAGTAAGTTATTTTATTCCAAATACTGCCTGCTCGTCCAGTGAAAGTGCTTCCCAATGACTCAGCTTAAATGTGACAAGTGCAGATCCCATAACGACAGCTGACAGCCGGAGGCTCTGAAACCCACTGGGGCTGGAGGCGCCGGAGCCAGAGCCCAGGGCTCCACCTACAACAGCAAATCGGGCCCTTCTTCACATGTGTGAAAGGGCCCTCCCACTGCTTACCCCGCTTCTGGTTTCCTGCCTCATGTTTTCCCTTCAGCTTATTGAAATCACTTCCCTCTTATCAAGAACACTCTCAATTTGAGAAGCAGAGTTTTAGCCACAAGTTGCTAATTTGTCCCACGCTGTAGAGAATTTCAATGCAATGAACATCATGCTCTTGTGCTGGAGAGCCCCTCGCTGAACCCCGGGGCAAGTTCTTCCACCTTCATCAGATGCTGCAATTTGTTGCCCTTTTCATCATCGGAAAATCAATCACACTGATCCATACTGCCCACTTCTCCCTTGGCCCAGCACACGTGTCAGCAAACTAAAAGCATTTCTGCTTGTAGTTTGTCGTAGAGTTTGTAGAGCCACTCAGAAACCCAGTACTTCCCATACTATGACCCCAGAAGACCGGAGCGTTAATAATAACAAGTAGGGGAACGATAGGAAATGAGGGAGGGTGGCATTTCAGACAGGCCTGCAGTTTGTCCACTGGAGCAAACAGTTATTGGAAAACTCTGATGAGCTGCCAGTCTGGGGCAAATTAAAGAAAAAAATGGTTATGGTATACACGGCACAGCCAGATGAGTATATTTCAGAAAGCCTAGTCCAGTTTTCTATGTGAAACCCAAGTCATTTTTCAAGAAGCAAGTCTGTTCTCTCTTATTAGACAATATGCCAGGTGTGGTGGCTCATGGCTATAATCCCAGAGACTTGGGAGGCTGAGGTAGGAGGATCACTTGAGCCCAGGAGTTAGAAGCCGCAGTGAGCTGAGATCATGGCCCTGCACTCCAGCCTGGGCGACGGGATGACCCCATCTCTTTAAAAAAAAAGTACTAAAAAATATATTGTCTCTTCCCACTAGAAGGTAAGCTGTATGAGAACAAGCACTTTGTTTCCCTGCATTCTGGTCCTTGGAACTGTAGTTGGCATGTCGGAGGTGCTTAATAAATATTTGTGGAATAAAGGAGTGAATGCGTCTGAAGCAGGTAGACAGGTGACTATCCGCAGTTGTGTAGGAAGTGGACAGCTGGTTCCTGCACGTTTCTATCTAACACATACACATCCTATGTGATGTCAAGAGCCCAGGGGACTTTGTGAGCATCGCGCATGCTCTGGGGGGTGGGTCTTCCAGAGGGCTGAGAGATTGCAGGCAAGATTCTACTGAGAAGCTCAGTAGGCTGCCACCAGTTCTGTGAGGTTTTCCTGTGGCCCACCTGACAGAGAGCGTGAAAGTAGCTGAAGAGCAAACCTCAGCAGCCAGCCCGGGGGGCGCTCACTGGGAAAGGCAGGAAGCGGCGCGGCCGCCGGGCTTCCACGCGCGCGAGGCAGCTTCCGCTGCACTCAGGCTGGAGGGCAGAAGCAAGGTGAGCTCAAACCCGCCTCTTCCCAGTGTAGGCCACAGAGAAAGGGAGCAAAGTGGCAGCGCTACATGAAGGAAAGATTTTGCCTGACATACCAAATCTCTGAGGGGCGTGAGAAGAGAGCAGCCACGGTTGAATACAGATGATGGGGAAGGCACATTTGTAACAGTTAGTGTTAAAGATTATCAGGGCTGTCTGCCACCTGCTGGCACGAGAAATGTAGATAAAATTAGCCTGAACCCCATTCCATGTCCTGGGGACGTGTGATGCGCACCCCGAGGTGGAATCACTGTCCCCAGGGGGCTGCCTTCGATGGCCCCACCTCTGCTGCACACCACACCGGTGCAAACGTGACGCTCTTCCCTTCTCAGCCACACGCACACACGCAAGTGCACACACAGCTGTGCAGGTCTCCACTGCACTTCTGTGGGTCATGGAGTGGAGGGCTGTCACACTGCAACTGCACAGCAAGCAACACAGAAGCTGCTCTTAAGGGACCTTTGGCTTGTCCCACTGCAGACGAGCTGCCCCTCTACACACCAGCCTTTCGCCCACTCCCCCTCCCCCCCACTCTCCTCTCCCCCACTCTCTGGAGCATTCTGTTTTCTCATGTGGAGCAGCTTCACCCTCACTTCCTTTGTAACTGGACTCCTGCCCTCAGAGACTCACTCTGGTTCTTAAAATCTCTTCTTAAACACAGAAATTTTCTTCTTAAGAACAGTTTGAGGCACAGCCATCCTGATACGACATTTTACCCTGCGGAAAAAAGAAAGACACCATCCCCAAGTAGAGCTCCATGAAAACAGAGCAGCATGAGGCACACAGCAAGGGGCTTGTCCGTATAGAAGAGCCATCTGGGTGAGACCAAAAGCACAGCTTCTTCAGCCACGGCTTGCCCAGGGACCGGAAGCCAGCTCCAAAGGCCCGCAGGATATTTGCATAACCATATATTAAAAAACTATCATAAACTGATTTTCGATTTTATTCTATAGCTAGGGAACAGGACATTCTCAAAGAAAGCTTTGGCTGTCTTTATAAGGATTCTAGTTAAAGAACTCCCAAGACATCATTATGGATGAATTTCTGAATTAGATGGGCCATAACTAATAATTTCGGTAAAAGCCTGTTCTCGAGCAGGACAAGCCAGCATAACTCCTGAGAGAAAGTGGCTTACTCTTTTTCCTATATGGGTGTGCTGTGTTACATAAAATGTCACCGTCATATAACAAAATAGCATTTGATTCATAAAAATTTTTTAATAATTGTACGTTCTGCAACAGACCAAATTCTGTGACCTAAAGCAGAGGTTCTCAAAGTGTGCTCCAGATCAGCGGCATGTTAGAAGTACAAGCTCTCAAGTTCCACCCCCAAACTCTGGGGCAGAGCCCAGTGCTGTGTGCTCACAAGCCCTGCAGCTGATGCTGACACCCACTCACGACTGAGAACCACTGTTCTAGGGTCACAGGTCTCCGAATGGTCCATATTGAATATTTCCAAAGCCAATGCAATCCCTGAATAAAGATTCTTTTCATTGCCTTTGATTCACAAAAATCTGTAGCCCTGTATACACTCAAATGACATGGTTTCTAGAATATACTGAATGATTATGTCCCCTTCAGATTCATATGTTGAAATCCTAACCTCATTAGGAGATGGAGACTTCAGGATATGATTAGGTCATGGAGGTGGAGTCTTCATGAATGGGATTAGTGTCCTTATAAAGGAGGTTTAAGAGAGACCCTTTGCCCCTCCACCAAGTGAGCACACAGCAAGAAGGCAGCATCTATGAACCTGAGAGCTCCCATTGAGTGTGCTGCTGCCTTGATCTTGGACTTCCCAGTCTCTAGAACCGTGATAAATAAATGTTTGTCATTTAAGCCACCCAAACTAAGGTGGTTCTGTTATGGCAGCCAGAGTAGCTGTAGCTGAGCTCTCACTCACGCCTTCCTGAGCTCTCGCTCCCAGCACGGCTGCCTTCCACTCCCCTCGGCCAAGGGGAGCTGCCTTGTCTCCTCTTAGAGCAACTACCCACCTCTCCCTTGGGGCTCAACTTCCACCCTGTGTTCCATAAAAGCCTGTGCTTCTTAAACTTGAGCCTCGCCTGGAGGGCTTAGTGAGACTCAGAATGCCGGGCCCCAGCCCCAGTCTTCGCATTCTGCAGGTCTGTGTGCGGCCCAGGATCTGCATTTCGGACAGGCTCCCAGTGGAAGCTGCTGCAGCCATCGCCCCAGACCACACTCTGAGAACCACAGTGAAAGCCAACATCGCTGAACTTATTTGCAGATGGGTACCTAAAAAGTCAATCCAGACATGAGCGGGGCTCATGTCCCGGGGCTGCTCCTTCCAGCTCATCTTCAAGACCACATCTGCTGCTCCCAGAACAAGGTCCTGCTCTCAGTGGGACAAGTCACTGCTGACACCCCAGCCCTAAGAGTGGAGCCAAAACCAGAGGAGAGAAAAATGACAATGATTCAAAAGCCTCATTCCAGACTCCTAATGTCATTCTGCCACCCCCAAGAAGCCAAATGCTGTCTGCCAGTCCCAGCCAGGTCCCTGGTCCTCAGCCCGTGTCAGAAGCTTGCAGAGACACGGGGCTGCTGATGGAAAACACCTGGTGGCCTGTGGTTTGTCTTTGCTGAGTTTATGGCTCCACCTGGGGATGGGGGCTCCAAGCGGGGCTGTTCTTGGGGGCCCAGGCACGAGTTCATGCATCACTTGCCAGCCCTGTCCCTGCGAAGGCAGAAAGTCAAAGTGCAACTGTCTCAGACCAGACCCGGCTGGTGCAAGGCAAGGTCCTGCGGGAGCAGCAAATGCCTCTCTCACTGCATTTTGCTTCTGACCGTGGTTCCCCGGGAGCCTAAAATTTGAGAAGTGAAACTGACCATGCCACCCCCTTCATGAGAGGAGAGGAAGGGCCTTGAGATCTTGTTATTGGACCTGTTATTTTTCTGTCGGTCCCACACAGGCCTCGCCATGGAGGGTTTCACAGCTGTCCTCCTCATCTGGACTCTGATTGCTCCGGGCAGCAGCGGTGGCAGCGGCAGGGAAGCCTGGCCCACACACCTGGCCTGCAGGGAGGGGGGCTTGGAAGTGCTCTACCAGAGTTGCGGTAAGGGCTTTTGAAACATCCGTATGTATTTGTGGGAAAATTAAGGCCCGCAGATGTGGGCTGCTTAAACGCTTAGTTGGGGTGGGGCTGGGGAGGGGGAGCAGCAGCCCAACGCTTTCTCCACCTGCGGGGGTCTGGGAGGGCCACAGGGGCCCTCAGAGGAGGCGTGGGGGTGGAGGATGGGGCTGGCGGTGGGCGGGAGGAGCCTCTCGAGAGTGACAAAGAGGGCAAGGAAGAGAAAGTAAGTCTAAATGCAGCAATTCACTAATACCACAGAGCCCAAAAAGAACAAAATGATCAATGCATCTACCAAATCGTGAAACCTCACCAGTTGAAAGCTAGGGAAAGATGCCCCCAACAAGGCCTCCCCAGACTGCAGGCCTGCGCCCCCGGCCAGCGGAGGCAGTCTGCAGGTGGAGTGAAAAGGCCACGTCTGCCCATAGGGAAGCTTCCTGTCCTCCTCTGGACATGTCCAGAGCTGAGGCTGCAGCATCACTCCGCCTCTGCGGACACTGCGCCTGCGGCTCACGCTGTCGGGGTTTTCCGTAGCACGGGGACGACAGAGGTGCGTGGGGTGTGGTTGTGACCCCCGCGGGCAAACTGCCCCGGGATTCAGCGGAGAGGATGAGTGAGCTGCAGTGAGCAGGCCAGAGCCAGCCCCGAGAGCCGGGTGTCGGTTCGTTGGGCCTCCGTGACAAAGTACCACAGAGCAGGTGGCTGGAGCAATGGAGGTTCATTTTCACTCGGTTCTGGAGGTTGCAAACCCAAGGCCAAGGTGCTGGCAGGGTTGGCCTCTCCTGCGGCCTCTCGTCTCGGCCGTGGATAGCTGTCTTGTCCCGTGTCCTCACACGGCCGTCCCTCTGCCTGTGCCGGTGTGCTCACCGCCCTTCTCATACGGACGCCTGTCACACCAGATTAGGGCGCGTGTCACCGCCTCGTTTTAACTTAATCATCGCTTTAAAGACCCGTCTCCAAACACGGTTCTGCTCTGAGTCCTGAGGTGGGACTCAGCACGCAGGTTGGTGTGGCGGGGCTCGGCCCAGCCTCTGGGGGCTCCTGCGCAGAAGAGCGCAGTCCAGGCTGGGTCACGGCGTGAGTGGAGGGTGGAGGGACTGGCTGTGGAATCTGCCCCTCGGAGGGAGGAGGGGAGACAGGCTATCTGCACTGCCGGGGAGGGAAGGAGCCGCACATGACGCGTCCGAGTGGCTGGGGCGTAATGACGATGTGGCACTTGCGCAGACAGCCAAGCCCGCAACTGCCACCCAAGGAGCTGGTCACCAGGGCAAGACTTGGCTTTTAAAAAGAAGGAACATTGACGAGTACAAAAAAAAGTAAAAAATAACTAAGGAGGATGAATGGCCGGTGCTGGAAGTGCCACTCGCGTCACTCACCCTGTTCCCACGGGGCGGGGCTGCGCGCTGGCGCCCCTTCATTTCGGTGCAGGGTGGAAGCCAGGCTTGCCGTGAATGCTCAGGGTTAGCGTTCCCGATTCATCCTCGCATAAAGGGTTGCCAGGGCTGGTCCGCCTCCAGACTCACCCTCAGCCTGCAGCCAAGCCTGGCACATCCTTTCCAGTCACAGCCAGCGGAGGCGCAAGCACTGGGCTCATCCGGGAAAGAGCAGAGACCGTGCCCGCCATCTGGGACGGGGAGCTGCTCCATGGAGACAGCCAATGTCCCGGACAAGCCTGCTGGGGCGCTGGGAATACGGGACGCTGGCGACGCTGTTCTTGTCCAAGAGTGGCGGGCGGGTCAGACAAGTACGCAACAGGGCAAGAGCCTCGTGAGAAGGCTGTAGTAGAGGCAGGCGTTGTGCGCCAGGGGACGTGGTGGGCAGAAGAGGCTGAGGTTGGCATCTAGATCTGTCGGGGAAGGCGTCGCCCAGCCCGAGTTGAAGCTTAAAGACTAATAACATAGTAATGAAGACATCTCCTGTTCATGGCAGGCGCCACGCTAAGTGCTTTGTAAACATCATTCTTACGTTGCCGATGTGTAAAACTGAAGGTTAGAGATGTCAGGTAACTTTTCCAAGGCCACACAGCTAATACTGGCAGAATTACATCCCAGGGGGCACAGAGAAGGCAAAGCATTGAGTAAGTATTGTATTTATGGACTTGAAACAAACGGATCCCCAGCCGGCCCGACTCCAGAGCCCACGCTCCAATCTCCCTGCTCTGGAGTTTTGCAAGCAGGAGAGGCGGAATGAGGAGGGCGGGGGAGGAGAGCCCGGGCGGAGAGCGTGGCACACAGGAAAGCAGGGAGATGTGCCGAGGCATAGAGTTTGGGGACCTGCGGAAGGGCTGTCAACCGGGGGTGAGAGATGAGGGGGAAGTACAGGCAGAGCCCCAGACAGGGCGGGCCGCCTGCCTTTGGCAAGGAGTGCGGCTGCATTTTGGAAAGATCCCCCGGTCATGAATAGAGCCTGGGTATTGAGTCAGGAGCTATTTGAGGCTGGAAACAAGGTTTGTAACCAGGAGGAGCAATAACTCAGGAAAGAAACAATAAGAGTTGGAGCTGGCATCATTTCGACAGCCTTAATATCCCTGGGAGAAAGAAGGAACCTCATAAGCAGCTGCTGGGCTCTGAATACCAACCAGGAAGTGAGCATAATTTTCTGCAAAAGCAGAAGTCCTGCCCCAGCAAACTGTTCGTGCTTTGGGAAAGAAGAGAGCCGCAGTCTTTACCAAAGCAAAATAGGGAACACATGCGGTCAGGGGCTCTGCCTACACAGAGTCACAGGACAATTCCCAGGGACCCCAGCACACGCCACAAATGCCCACCACGCATCGACTGCATGCTGCCTCTCGTACACACGGATGTGAGGTTGACTGCAGACACACACGTCGGAAGAGGAGACGGGCAGCAGCGGGAGAAGCAGGGTGAGGGGAGGGTGAGGGAAAGTGCTGTGGACGGAATGTCTGTGTCCCCTCAAAGTTTCTGTTAAACCCTAATGCCCATATGATAGTATTAGGAGGTGAGGCCTTTGGGAGGTGGTCAGGTCGTGAGGGCGGAGCCTTCAGAAATGGGATTAGTGCCCTTGCGAGGAAAGGCCAGAGGTTTCCCTCTCCTTCCACCAGGAGAGGACACAATAAGAAGGCGGCCGCTGTAAGCCAGGAGGTGAGCCCTCCCCGAGAGCCCACCTGGCTGGCACCTGGCCTCCGTCTCCCAGCGTCCAGGACTGGGAGAAATGCCTGTGGGTTGTTTAACATCCCCAGCTTCGGTCTATATTAATCTGATACACTCCCCCTAGCTGACCAAGGGGAGTGGTAAGACAGCAGAGGTCAGGACACACGGAACAGGTGAGGCGGCGTGAAGGGTAAGGGCCTGCAGTCAGCAAACCTCACTCAAACCCGGGGCAGTCCTCCCTAGGTCTCACGTCCTTGTCTGTAAAGTGGCTGTATTAGTTTCCTTTCGCTGTTGTAACAACTTTCTGTTTGGTGGTTTAAAATAGCACCAGAATCAGGGTAGATTCTGCAGAACCTTCCGTGAATGCCGCACTCACATCCTGGCTTATTTGAGGGAGAAAGTCAGACTGCGTGTAAGAGTGGACGAGCTGCGTGTCCTCCAGGCAACGCTCCACACGTATGACCGTCGTCGCCACCGTTGGGGTTTGTGCTGGGCTTCTGATCAGGGTCGGATAGCGGAGGTCTGAGCTACGTTCCCTGGCGAGAGCCTCGAGGGTAGACCCCTTCACGTGCTTTGCCATCAACCAGGCAGAGGAGGGCCTGTGGCACATGCCTACGTGCCTGTGCGTCCCCTCCGGTCTCTCTGCTACTCACAGTGTGCCTGGCCGTAGGAGTCCTCCTGGGAGCAGCTGGCGCAGGGCAGCTGCCTGCAAACAGTAGTCCTTGGGCAAAAAAAAATATGCCTGTTTGTGAAAGGCCCATGTTTTTACATTTTTAAATGATTAAAAAATTCAAAAGAAGAATAATAATATTTGTGACACATGGAAGTGATACAAAATTCAAGTTTCTGTGTCCACAAAATAAAGGTTTATTTTAACGCAAATATGTCTGGAAACGTAGATGTCGTTTCCCCGGAGCACAGCCGCGCCCGTTCTTCCCGAGTGGATCTGGCTGCTCCCGTGCCGCCGGGCAGAGCCGCGCAGTGACACTGGCCTCGGCCCACAGAGCCTGGCGAGTTAGCCTCCTGGAACTTTGTGGAGAAAGTTTGCTGATCCCTGGTCAAGGGTAGGAAGGAATCTTTCAAGGTCTTCACAAGGTCACAGCCTCAAGTTCCAGGTCTTCCAAATGATTCTAGCCAAAAAGGGGTTGCATGGACAAGCGAGCTTGATGGCGAAACCACCATGACTGCGAGGAATCCCTGAAAGGGATCCGTCATGGCCAGAATAATCTCTCCCTTCCGCATGTCACCTTACAGTGGAAGGATAAGCCCCTTCCATTGGTAAGGCCTCGTTTAATCCTTACGAACAGCCCTGTGGGGTAGGGAGGATGTTTGTCTCCATATTTTGGATATAGAAACTGAAACATGCATACATATTAAGTATTTTGATAAAGTAACATACCTGAGCTGTGCTATAAACCTAGGCGTCCTGACTTCTCGCCCAGTGACTTAACGCTGTAGCGTGGGGCTCTAACAGGACCCAACCTCCTGGTCCCAGAGACACAGGGGAGGCCGGGGAGAAGATGCGGCTAAGAAGATAAGTCGTTGGGTAAAAAGGAGAAACCCTAAGCAGTATGTGGACTAGCAAAAGAAGGAGGAGGAAGAGGAAGAGGAGAAAGAAGGGGATAAGGAGGTGGAGGAAGAGGAGGGAAAATGCAGGAGGAGGAGAGGGAAGGGGGAGGAGGTGGTAGAACAGGAGAAGGAGCAGGGGAGCAGGGAAGGAGGGGAGGAGGAGGGGGCAAGAGGTGGAAGAGGAGGAAGACAAGGAGGGGAGGAAGATGAGGAGAGAGATTCATCTCCGGTGACGGTTGTGCCCCTTCTGTGCCCAGCCTCCCCTCCCTACGACATGCAGAGCCGGGCCAACCTGTCTCTTCCCAA